ACAGCGGGGAGCAGAACAGGTAGATCGACTGAAATACACTGCTGAGGGGAGCAGCAGGTAAGACAGGCCTCTCCTTTTTTTTTTTTTTTAAGATTGATTTATTTATGCATACAGAATTGGGGTACAGGCCAGAGGTGCAGGGGGTGAGAGGATTCACCAGAGACAGAGTGGGGAGCAGAACAGGCAGAATGAATGAAACACACTGCTGAGGGGAGCAGCGGGCGAGACAGGAGAGGTCTGCTGTGCCCTGTGGGTCAGCTCCCTGGCCTGGGTCAAACTGCTGCAGTGGCTGCAGATAGCTTCATAGCTCTGCAAGCTAACCCCCTGTGCCACAGGGGAGATCCTTTTTTCAGACTTCTAATGCAGGTAAAGAGGTTAAAGAGCTCGAGAATTATTGAGGCTTTGTAAGACGAGGCAAAATCCAAAATATGATGTAGATACAAACATAACCACTTAAAGTGTTACCATTTAAACGTGTAAGGACAAATCCAGGCACTGCAAATCCAGGGTTCTTGAATTTGGGGTCCCAGAAGCCAGGCCATCCGCACCCTCCTCCCCATCATGCCATAGCAGGAGCTGGGGGTTTGCTCACCTCCCCCACCCCCAGCCCTTACTCCACTCTGGAGGCTGCAATCTCCCTGTCTCCTAGCAACTGTGAGACTCAAATTCCACCCTCCCTCGACCTCCGGTGGGAGGGACTGAGCACAAGCATGCTCAAGAGCTGCCATCTCCATCTACCACCTCCAGGAGGAAAGGGAGAATCCAGGGGAATCCAGCACTTTGGTGCCAGTCCCAAGCAGAAGAACCCTTCCTTCAGCCTGTGTCCACACTGTTCCCAGATGTCCTCTACCTCACAGTTGTTACTCAAGGCCTGGTCTAGCATAGTAAGGATAGCAAAGATATCGTTCAGGGACCTGCTAGAAACACAGAATTTCGCTCTCACCCCAGGCCTACTGAGTTGCGTCTTTTTTTTTTTTTAAGATTTATTTATGTATGCATACAGACCTGGGGTACAAGCACAAGCCAGAGGTGCAGGGGTGAGAGGATTCACCAGAGAAGGAGTGGGGAACAGAACAGGCAGATCCACAAAGCACACTGCTGAGGGGAGCAGTGGGTAGGTCAGGAAAGGCCTGCTGAGCCAGGTGGGTCACCTCCGGGGTCAAGGATCGAACTCGCACTGAAGTGGCTGCAGCTAGCTTGCAGTGCTGCATCCTAACCCGTTGCACCACCAGGGAGGGCCACCAAGTAGTGTCATTTTTAACAAGGTGCCATGAGATCCCTATGCCTAACATCCAACAAGCATTGCATTCACAATCCAAAAAGGCAATGTCATAAATAAATACATCAAATAAAGAACACCTCTGCTATAGATTGGACTTGTAATGATAACGCTAAAAAGCAGCTTTTATGACTTATAAAAGGAAGTTCCCAATGCTAAGTTCCCTAGCCCTGTAAGAATGAAAATTTCTTCATTTCTCCTCCAGCCACACACATGTGTCCAGGATGGACGGTATCACTGACTTAAGGTTCCTGCTCTCGAAACCGGAGAGGAAACGAGAAAGGGTAATTTCTACTCCCAGAGTAAGAAACTTCTTAGGAGCAAGGTAAAAAGAAAGAACACTCAAAGAATGGCCACCTTGGGCCTGCCAGGATCAACTAAATGGCAGCAAAGGGTAATTCCAGACCAGCAAAGACAGCACCCAAACCCAGCAGAACAGCTCCCAGGAAACACATACCCAATGCATTATAAACCCCAAAATGAAATTCCTGTGACCTATTAAGGTGGCAAATGAGAGCTCCCAAGAGAAGTTTCCAGGCCAGTAAGTTCCCAGTCTGGTAAGTTCGCTCTGTCCCCAGCTACCTTAGGAAGCTACCAACTTTAACTTGCTCATTAGGTGACAGTGGCAAATGAGAGAGACACATGCCAACCTTAGAACTGTAATTGGCAGATGAAGCCAAAGGCTATTACAGGTGGTGCCACCCAGAGGGGACTGCTGGTGAGGATAGGCAGCCCCAGGGAAAATGCTAGCAAAGTATTGCATTTTGGGGTGGAGACTCTGATATGAAATATAAGGGATGGCAGAAGCCACCCCCAGGATTCAGTCTTCTGGAATCAGTGTTTGAGCATTCGGCGTTCGGGATTCAGCCTTTCGGATCTTCGGCAACTCTGGAGTCAGCGATTTCTGCCCCAACCATGCCAATCTTCCAGAAGGCTGCTGCAGACCTCTGAAGAACATGGAGAGGCTTCTGGCAACCAACCTCAGAGGATTTAAGTTCAGATGCCTTGCAGGTAGCCAGGTAACTAAAACTGTTCCCAGTTCTGCTGCTTGTATAGCCTGGCAGAGAAGGCGAAGACCCAGAGCAGGCACCTCATGGAGTTGCATGTGTGGCCATTTGTCAGACACCTTGGCCACTGCAGCTTCTGTCTTCAGTGTACTTGTCTGGTGCTGCACTGGGGCACCTCTGCATCTCCGGGGAGAATCTCCTGTTGTGTCTCCTGCTGTCTGTGAATCGGAGCCCAGCCTACTGTCTGGCTGCAATGTGCTCCAGGTCCACACTGGCAGGAAGACATTATCTTAGGAGCATCTGCCTTTAGGACTTTAAAAACACTGCTTTGGTGAGGTAAGCAGCCATTTTTGGCCTCAGGAAGTCTTTGTTCATTAAATAAATCCCATTAGGTCCCTCCCTGGTGGCACAGCGGGTTAAAACACAGCACTAAGAAGCTAAAGCCACTTCAGCATGAGTTCGATCCCTACCCTGGGGGTGATCCACATGGCGTGGCAGACCTCTCCTCACCCACCCGCTGCTCCCCTCAGCAGTGTACTTCATCCATCAGCCTGTTCTGCTCCCCGATGTCTCTGGTGAATCCTCTCACTGCCCCTGCACTTCTGGTCTGTGTCCCGGTTCTGTATGCATAAATAAATAAATCTTTAAAATAAATAAATCCCACTATCGTTGTTCTCTGGACCTGAGCAATCTTGCAATTGTGCACATGGGTGAAGAACTCAGTGACCAACAAACTACTGGGCCTCACCTTTGGCCAGTTTTAGTGTCCCTCTGGCCCTGTATCAGAATGACTTTGCTTTACTGGAAAACATAAAAAAAGAAAATGGCCTACAGGAGAATACCACATACAAAGAAAAGAAAATGATCATTTTTTTTAATCTCCAGGACAAAATAATAAGACGGGGAGGTGGGTGGTTAAGACCTACTTTAAACAGAAAACAACTCAACACATTTCTAAAACTCCAGGACACAACACGGATGAACCCTGAAAATACGTGACATGAAAGAAGCCAGTCACAAAAGATCATGTATTGTATAATTCCTCTCATATGAAATGTTCAATCCAATGACAGCAAGTAGATTAATAGATTAGTTCTTGCCTAGGGATGGGGGAAAGGGGCTGGGAGTTAGTTGGTGCTGGGCATGGGCTTCTTTTGGAGGTGATGAAAGTGTTCTAAAAATGACTGTCATGAATGGATGCAAAACTCTGTGAATATACTAAAAGCTATTGAAGTAGGTTAATTGTCTATACTATATTGCAAAAAAAAAAGTTGTTTGAAAAAAATTCATGGCACCACACTAAATATACATTAGTCTTAAACATGGAGTTCCTACTATAACACAAAGACCTGGGAAAAATCTGGACAGAACAGAAAAGTTGATGTCACCACTGGATAGACATCCCAGCTAGATTTTGCTAGCAAAACAATCCCATCTCAGTTTGGGGAAGAATTTGGCAGTCTTAAGATCAGTAATCTCACGGAAATCCCCATCTGGCTTTGGGTTCCTGTTCCAAAATCACGGGGGAAAAATAGACAAAATGCTTTCAAAACAACACCTATGTGGGTAAGGGGAAAAAAACAAAGGAAAGAATGGGATGGGTGCTGGAGTGCTAACAAAATACAAAGTGTAGAATTCACTCTCACTATAGAAATTCAAGTCCAGAAAAGACTATGTATTTCCCATGAACACTATGTTTCAAAAGTCAGTCCCTAAATACAACTCACAAAGAATAGTGGGCAAAAAGGGCCCTCCTGGATGGCTGAAGTTTTCTCGGTCACCATATTGACCTTAACTTTGTTCCCCCTATTAAGAGTTTAACCTAGGAAAATTCTCTTCTCTCTTCTCAACCTCTGGTTTTCCAAGCCACAAAAAGAGATCATGAAAAGTTCCCTGGGGATCCTGTTGCGGGGGTGGGGAAGGGGGTCACCATGGTAAGAAAGAAAGAATAGGAAAGTAGAACAGGTGTCTCTCACCCTAAATCAAAACACACAAAACCCTGAGGCATTGGGAGACACAGAAAGAAATCCATGCAGCTATAGGCCTAAAGCTTTAGTCCTGCCCTGGTGATTTATAGTCTCTCTAATCCCCAGGCAAATTACAATACCAAATGTTATTAAGCAACGCAGTAATGAAGCAGATGCAGTTTGGCTTTTGTGTCCCAGACTCCAGCTCCCAAGGGCATGAATCATGTACCTTAGAACAAAATGGTCATTTCCAGTGCCAAGGACAGAGGGAACTGGCAAGTGCTTGGAACAGTGTGCCTGGCACATAGTAGGTATTCAATAAATATTTGTTGAATGCGTTCTGAATGCCCATCTACCTCCCATAGTACTCTCGCCTTCTTCTCTTAGAAGATGGAAACAACGTTGAATCCACACCAATTCACCGCAAGTCCAGTTGTAACTGCAAAATCAATAAACTTAACTGCTGCTGGGAGGAAAGGGACTTTTGCTAATGTTATTGTTAATGTACCATAAGTGCTTAAATCAGTGTTAGCATACAACAGCTGCTCATCAAATATTTTTTCATGCCGAATCAATTAAGGACCTACTACGCGCCAGGTTTTCCAATCACTTCCGCCCAGGTGATAGAGGTGGCCCCTGCATCCTCCCACCGCGAGAGGCCGCTGTAGGAAGCTCCCGCTTCCTTTTCACATCCCTTCCTACTCCGCCGTGCCCTTTGACCGCGTGAAGTCATTGCCCGTAGTTAAGATGGCGGCGCCTGTGGCAGCTGCTGCCGGGCAGCTGCGAAGGGCTATTCGGAGGTCGCCCCCATGGCGGAACCCGAGCCGGCGGGTGCTCTCTTCCGAGCCCCCTGCAGTCCAGGCCACCGCCGTGCGGAATACCTTCCTAAACTTCTTTCGGGACCGCCATGGCCATCGACTGGTACCCTCCGCTTCCGTGCGGCCCCGCGGCGACCCCAGTTTGCTTTTCGTCAACGCGGGCATGAACCAGGTGGGGGCAGAGCCACGCTGCCGGGAGGTGGAGTTTGTGAGTTGCCGGAAAGAGCAGGCGCTGCGGGATTGGGCGAGAGCAGCGGGGGCGGGGCTCCGGGCTGCGGGCTGCGGGCTGCGGGCTGGGGGAGGCTGGCTGTCTTGTGAGGTGGGGCACCGTGACCGGCGTCTGGGGGTTCCCCACTGGTCATTTCTGGGTTGGGAGTGCGTTTTGGTACCGGAACAGCGGATGTGGTCCACGTGAGACGGATGTCTGGCTTGCTGTACTCATTCTTTAAATAAAAACTCGTTGATTAAATAAGTTTATCGAATGCACACTATGTTCACTGAGCTTTTTCCTTTGAGCACCCTCTCAAAATTTCATTGTCTTAATCTATCAGATAGGCGGGGTGGGGTGAGGGGGAACGGTAGGTAAATTTTAGACGCCTTCCACGGCCCCCATGAAGTACTACAGTGACAGTGCCCATGCCAAGTACCCTGTTGAATCTGTTCTGTACCCCGAAGTTACTGGGTGTGGTTGAAGAGACCGAGATGCAGCCATTCTATGCCCTGCTCCCAGCCACCTGCGCGTACCTCCTTTTGGCTATTTTGCTAATACAGGGTCTCAGTTTCAGGATTTATTGACCCCCTTACCTACCCCACATACACAGCAGTTGGGTACTCCCACACACGCTCAAGTTGCCCCCTTCAAGGCCACATTACACCTCACAAGCACAGTCAGCCTGAAGTGTGCACAGCCACCTGTGACTCCACTCCCCCTTTTCCCTTCTACTGAAGGACTGGCCTATCCTTCTCCCCCTTCTTCATGTGTTTCTAGTTCAAGCCAATCTTCCTGGGCACAGTAGATCCACGAAGCGAAATGGCAGGCTTCCGGCGCGTAGCCAATAGCCAGAAGTGTGTGAGGGCTGGAGGACGCCACAGTGACCTGGAGGATGTGGGCCGAGACCTCTCTCATCATACCTTCTTTGAAATGCTTGGTAATTGGGCCTTTGGAGGTGAATATTTTAAGGTAAGTCTCCAGGGAGCCTGAAGTTAGAAGGCCATTGTTAGCCAAGTAGGAGGCCAAGGTTAATCCTATCTCCCTCTTGGAGTCTGCCTAGGAAGAGCCTCATACCAGACCACACCAAGTGCCAGACTGAAATGTATAACAGGAAAGTGTCTCACTTCTCTAATTAGACTGGAGGCTCCTTGAGGACTGGACTGTGCCTCCTGCCTCACAGCTGGTCAACAATTGTCTGGGCCTCCTTGGTGGCCTAGGGGTTAATTCTCAGTGCTATCACCAGTAGGGCCAGTCTTCAATCCTGGGATAGGGAACTAAACTACGTATGGTGCAGCAGACCACTCCTGTCTCACCCACTGTTCCCTGAAGTATATTTCAGTAAATCTGCCTGTTCTCTCCACTCTGTCGCAGGTGAATCCTATTACCCCTCCACACTGCACCCCTGGCCTATACCCCAGAGCTTTGATACACGCACATAAAAATAATAGTAGTAGTTGTAGTGTGACTAAATACAGTAAAATCCATAGTTAATAAAAATCATCCCAGTCTAGGGTAGGTAGGAGATTCCATGAAAAAGAAGGTAATTGCTCTGGGACTTGAAAAAAAAGGATTTAGAGAAGAGAAAAGCTTTCTGGGCAGAAAGAAAACATGCATAATTGGTCACATTTGTTCTGGAAATAAGGTGGGCAGAAGGAATGGTTTTATCTTTTTTTTTAAGATTTATTCATACACAACTGGGGTACAGGGGTACAGGCCAGAGATGCAGAGGGTGAGAGGATTCATCAGAGACAGAGGGGAGCAGTGGGGGGGGAGGGGTCAGGAGAGGTCTGCCTGGCCATGTGGATCTCCTCCCGGGGTCAGGCGGGATGGAACTCATGTGGGAGTGGCTTAAGCTTCCTAGTGCTGTGCTTTAACCCGCTGCGCCACCAGGGAGGGCCCTGGATGGTTTTATGATAAGCTGAGTGCTGAACTCACGGGGGAAATCACTAGGGGGTGGGGGGAGCTTTTTTTTTTTTTTAAAGATTTATTTATCAGGGCCCTCCCTGGTGGCACAGGGATTAAAGCACAGCAAGCTATCTGCAGCCACTACAGCACAAGTTCAATCCCACCCAGGGAGGTGACCTACATGGCGTGGCAGATCTTTCCTGTCCCACCTGCTGCTCCCCTCAGCAGTGTTTTCTGGACAATCTGCCTGTTCTGTTCCCCACTCTGTCTCTGGTGAATCCTCTCACCCCCATCCCCACACCTCTGATCTGTACCCCAGTTCTTGTATGCATAAATAAATACATCTTTTTAAAAAATTATTTTTTATGCATACAGAACCAGGGTACAGGCCAGAGATGCAGAGGGTAAGAAGCAGAGTAGGAGTAGAATAGGCAGATGTACCGAAACACACTGCTGAGGGGAATAGCTGCCACGCCATGTGGGTCAGCTCCCTGGGTGGGATTGAACTTGTGCTGCAGTGGCTGTGGACAGCTTCATAGAGCTGTGCTTTAACTCGTTGCACCACCAGGGAGGGTCACGGGGCTTTCTGAACCCCTCTTCCTCTCCCCACCTTTTCGGCTTTTTTCTGCAGGAGGAGGCTTGCAGCATGGCCTGGGAACTGTTGACGCAAGTTTACGGGATCCCTCAGGACAGGCTCTGGGTCTCCTACTTTGGTGGTGACCCTAAGGCAGGGCTGGACCCAGACCTGGAGAGCAGGGACATCTGGCTCAGCTTAGGGTAAGTCCACCCCAACTCTGTCCACTCCTGAAGGTCAAGAAGTCAGGAACATAGTCTCCACCAGCACTGACCTTTGGCATACCTCAGCATTCCCTGGGGTACTGTGAGACCAGCCCTTTTGCTCCTCTTGCTGAGGGTCCTGGATTCCGGGCTGGTCTGACTCCACACCATGCACTGGACTTTTACTCCCAGGGTTCCCACCAGCCATGTGCTTTCCTTTGGACCACAAGAGAACTTCTGGGAGATGGGGGACACTGGCCCCTGTGGACCCTGTACTGAGATTCACTATGATCTGGCTGGTGGGGTGGGAACCCCCCAACTGGTGGAGCTTTGGAATCTGGTCTTCATGCAACACAACAGGTAACAGGGCACGAAGAGAAAGGGAAATCCTTGATGGAAACTGAGGGTGGAGAGCACCCTTGCTGAGAAGGGATAGACCTCCAAGGCCGTCCCGTCTGCTATTAGGGGAGATGGGGGAGGGGAAAGAGAAGGGGAGAGGCTTCCCTCCGAGTCTTCCCACTGAGAGCCCCCTCGGACCTCTCCTCATTCCTCTGCCATCACCTCACGTCTGTAACCCTGCCTGGGGCCTCCCTTGGCACACCTCCCCCGGCCAGAGAGGCAGATGGAAGCCTGCAGCCCTTGCCCCAGCGGCACGTGGACACAGGAATGGGCCTGGAGAGACTAGTGGCTGTGCTGCAAGGCAGGCGCTCCACCTACGACACAGACCTCTTCTCCCCGCTGCTCAGTGCCATACACCAGGTGAGCCTGCTGCTTCCGTTCTGGAAGCCCCTCTGACCTGCTCATCACCAACACTCAGCCCCTTTGCTTTCCATCTTTGTTGAAAACTGATAGTATCCCTACCTGGGGGGGAGACAGTGATCCAGCCAAGGATCGCAGGGTGTCAAGCCTGAGGCTGGGATTTGTGTTTACTATCTGATATTGTTCCTACCTCCTTCCTTTATTAATTCAAAAAATACATTTATGTTAATTAAGTCCTTTGTGCTTGGCACAGGGGATGTAGTAGTATATGGAAAAGAGGTCATGGAGATGATATCCTAATCCGAGAGGTAGTAACTAAATGGACGATAGGACAAGATGGCAATTTACAGATTGTGCACAGATAGTAAACGTGAGTGATAGTAACTCAGAGAAGAGATGGGTACAGAAAAATCTTAAGAGTTTGGAGAACAATCACTGAGATGACCTTTGGGGAACAGCCATAGGAAACTCATTCTGGGCAGAGGCACTGCAGATAACAAGGCCCTGGGGCAGGAAAGAAGCAAGTAGCCAACCAACTAAAGCTGAATCACACGGGTGTAGTTGGAGCGTGATGTCTGTAGCTCTTGCTGTATAACAAACCCCCAGGCACTTTAGCTTAAAAGACAGTCATTTATTTCACTCATTTGTCTGTGGGCTACGGTTCAGGGTAAGATGACCTGAGTCCTTCCTTTGGTTGGACTCATCTGGATGAGCCCACTCACACATCCTGGGTCAGCTGCTAGACAGCTCTACTTCTAGGGATTGACTTTCAGATTGGGGCAAATGGGGGTGAATGGACCACGGATCTGTCCTCTTGCAGGCCAGCTCAGACTTACACCACAGCTTGGCAAGTTTCTGCAAAAGAGCAGAACTCCAGGTCTCTTGAGAAATAGGCTCAAAACATTGTCATTCCCACCGTATCTTGTTAACCAAAGCAAGTCATAAGGCCAGCCTGGGCTCAGGGGATGGAAGAATAGATTCTCTCCTGATGGGAAGCAGCTGTATCCTCCGGTTACAAAGGTATACAGACAGGGAGGGGAGGAATCGGGGTCATTTTTTGCAACAGTCTACCATGCAGAAAGCCAAAGTCAAAGCTTGTGGGCCTTATAGTCCCCAATAGGGCTTTTATTCTCAGCATGGTGAAAGGATTCTGAGGGGGGAGGTCCATGATCTGACTGATACCTTAAAGGCTGTTCCTGTTGATGTGTGGAGGCTGAACTGGAGAGGGGCAAGAGTAGAAGCTGAGAAAACAATTGGGAGGTCATTGTCATGGTCCAGGGAGAGACAAGATAGGCCACGGCAGAGGCAGGTGGCAGTGGGAAGTAGAGAAAAGTAGATTGATTCTAGAGGCCATGTGGAAATGGAAGAAGTAGGCTCCACTGATGAGTTCGATGAGGATAGAAAAGAAAGTCTGGTCTTTTTCCTAGCTTTTTGACTAGAGCAATGCAGGACTGTTGAGAGGAGAAGCTTGGGAAATAGACCTCTTTGGCGCTGAGTGAATCAAGCACTCTGCGTCGTGTGCACACAGCTCATAACCCTCCCTGTCTGTAGGCTGTGGGTGGGTCGTAGAGGGTACCTGGAGTGAGGCAGGCCTGGTTTAAATCTCAGATCCTCTCCTCGTGAGTTGTGTGGCCTGTGTCACCTAGCTCCTTGAGCCTGTTTCCTTTATAAACAGAGATTGTAGTACCTTCCAGAATGGGGCTGTGTGAGGGATTAGCCATTTCTTCCAAGCACCCTCCTAGGTCTGATAGAACACTCTATAATGATCACAGCTCTGATTATGGTGTTGAATGCGAGCCCCCTGGGTGCAAAGGCTGCCTCCCATCCAGCTATAAATGCTCACCTGGTCAGTCAGATGCTCTAGGAGTGGTGACCACCCACCTGGGCCAGGTAGACAGACTCAAGCACTGTACCTCTTTCTCCCTGCTTTCCAGGGTTGCAGGGCACCCCCTTACTTGGGCCGAATAGGGGCAGCAGACCAGGGGCGCACAGACATGGCATATCGTGTGGTGGCTGACCACATCCGGACACTCAGTGTCTGCATCGCTGACGGCTTTTCCCCTGGGATGTCAGGTGCCCCGTGAGTTGGGAAGATCTACAGAGGGGGGCAGGGGCTGCTGAAGATCTACAGAGGGGGGCAGGGGCTGCTGGGGGTTGCAGGGAGAGGAAGGGAAGGAGATGGAGAGGTAGGTTGGGTTGAGTTGGCAAGGGGAGCAGAGGAAGTAGAAGAATTTGGAGCACATGTTCTAGACCTTGTCCCCTCCAACCCGATACTGCTGACCAGGAGCTACTGGGGTTTCATGTGACTCCGAATCCCTAGGCTGGTTCTTCGTCGGATCCTCCGCCGAGCAGTGCGGTTCTCTACAGAGGTGTTGAAGGCCCCGCCTGGCTTCCTAAGCAGCCTAGTGCCTGTTGTGGTGGAGACACTGGTAAGGGCCGAGCTTCCTCACTCCTGGGCCTTCCTGGGGTCTAGGGGAGCCTGCTGCTAAGCCCAGGCAGTGCCTCTGGCCTGGTCTCCTCATCCCAAATGTCCAGCCCAATGACCAGTCAACTGGCTGAGGAAGGTGGAATTGCTTTCAAGAATCAGGAACTTCACATGGCCTCCTTGTCAGACTGCTGAGCCTTTAACGTTGGCACCCTCTTCTGCCTGTATCTCCACCCCACTGGAAACTGACTCCCCCATCTGGGCCCTCCATCAGCCTGGCTCAGCCTCAAGGGCAGGTGTCCTCAGAGGGGCCCAGGTGGGAAAGTAGAGGTGGGCTGGTTGCCTTTCTCACCCCCTTGGCCCTCTCCTCCACCAGAGAGATGCTTATCCAGAACTGCAGAAGAGCTCCATGCAGGTACTAGATTGGGGAGGGAAAGGGTGGTGAGAAAGGCGTGGGAAGAGGCTCTCTCTTGAGGAGGCCCAGCTCCCATGACATCCTGCCCCCGGTTCAGATAGCCAGTCTGGTGTCAGAGAACGAGGCAGCCTTCCTGGCCTCCCTGCAGCGGGGCCGGCGGATCATCGATCGAACCCTGATGCGCCTGGGGCCTTCGGATGTGTTCCCTGGTGAGCGGGGTGCCCAGCCTGTGCGCAAGGGGCTCACTTAGGTATGCCAGGGCTGACCTGGAAGGAAGCCTTGGGCCTACCTGAAGCTCACAGGCTCTCCTCTTTTCTCTGACCCCCCACCCCCCGAGATCTCTTTTCAACACCCAGATCTCTGAGCACCACCCAGCTTCTCCCCACCTCCCCACTGCCCAGCTGGCTCTGCCTCCAGTCTGCTTTCTAAGACTGGCTTCCTGCCTAGAACAAGTTTCCCTCTTCCTCTGGCATGATGTTGCTCAGGGAGTGCTTAGGCTACCCCCAGCTCTGACCTTGAAGCATGAATCTGAAGGCAACCCCACACCTAAGCTCCCCTCGTATGGGGAGGGGGCACTTGTGCTTGACACCTGGTGGCTTCTATCTAGTAGGAAAAGACCTCACCTCAGCCCCCTCCCTCTGTCTTGTCCCTTGCCCTCATCACGCCTTGTCTTCCTTCCTCCAAGCCGAAGTGGCCTGGTCCTTGTCAGTGTCTGGGAACCTGGGGCTCCCCCTGGACCTCATAGAGCTCATGCTGGAAGAAAAAGGGGTGCAGATGGACTCTGCTGGGCTGGCACGACTAGCTCAGGAGGAGGCCCAGGTACAGGCTGGGGCACCACCACCCAGGGCTCTTTTGGGATGCATAGCAGCTACCTCCCCAAGCCTGAGCTCCGGGGGGAAGAGCTGCAGCCACTCAGGAAGCAGAAGGCTGAGCTGGGGTCTGTCCCCTCACCTTGGGCGCCCACCCCCACACGGATCCCATAGAAAAGGGCACAGCATCCCAAAGAGGGGACCTCAGGAACAGCCTGGCTGAGGGAGGCCTGATCCTTAGACTGTCCTGGCATGGAGGGTTTCTCCCCAACCAGCCCAGGGGCTGAAACAGCCAGCCTGATGGCTTATTCTAGGTGGGCTGCAAGGGACCACAGAGTTCTGTGGAGGCTCAGGTCCCACTGCACTGTCCACCGTCACTTACACACATCCTATCCTGCAGCACAAGGCACGGCAGGCTGAGCCGATTCAAGAGCAAGGACTCAGACTTGATGTCCACTCCCTGGGGGAGCTGCAGCGGCGAGGCGTGTCCCCAACTGATGACAGCCCCAAGTACAACTACTCTCTACGACCGAGTGGGGACTATGGTGAGAGCCTTGACAGAGGTAGATGGTCACAAGTCTGGCCTGACCACTACGGAGAGTGGTCTGTACACTTTCTGGGGTAACCACCAGGGGTCGCTGCATCCTCCCAGCTGGAAAAGTCCCTAGCTGATACCCGTGGATCTCAAGGCTTAGACCACATCCCACCCTTCACTCCCACCCTTCACACCCGTGCCCGGCACTGATAACCATGCTCCTTTCTGACAGAGTTCAGCACCTGTGAGGCCCAGGTGCTCCAGCTGTATACAGAGGATGGTACAGCGGTGGCCTCTGTGGGGGGTGGCCAACGGTGTGGCCTCCTCTTAGACAGGACCAGCTTCTACGCTGAACAGGGGGGTCAGACTTCAGACCGAGGCTACCTGGTGCGGGTAGGACAACAGGTGAGCCTTTCCCGGACCCCCACTCACACACGCACAGGCAAGCCTGCGGGAGGTAAAGGAAGTGGGAAGACAGCCCGGGGAAAGGCTAGAAGTGGTTACTCCAGTACTTGGCCCTTTTCTTCCCCAGGATGTGTTGTTCCCAGTGGCCCGGGCCCATGTCTGTGGGGGCTTCATCCTACATGAGGTGGTGGCCCCAGAGTGTTTGCAGGTGGGGGACCAGGTGCAGCTGCACGTGGATGAGGTGAGGCCCCAACCCTGCTGTTCTTGATACCCATAGCCCCTTCCCCCCAGCCCACCCAGGACCCTGGGTGACAAAAGCATTTCAGGCCTGGCGTCTGAGCTGCATGGAGAAGCACACAGCCACTCACCTGCTCAACTGGGCACTGCGGCAGACCCTGGGCCCCAGCACGGAGCAGCGAGGCTCCCATCTCAGCCCTGAGCGACTGCGCTTCGACGTGGCCACTCAGGTGAGCAGGACTCAGAAAGACAGGCTCTGGTGAGGCAACAGGCTTTAAGAGGTAGTTTGACAGTGCAAGGGCCTGGGCTGCATGTCACTCGGTCCCTGGGGGACCTTGGGCAAGTATCTTCCCCTCAGGCTCCTCCCACACCAGCAAGGTTCCAGGCTAGACTTTGTCTGAGGCTCTCCTTCCCCCTCCAGCCACTGACCTCCTTGTACCACTACTCCTTGAGGCCACTCTTGCGTGAAAGGACCCGCCCTTTTCCTTGTCATCCTTTCTCCCTCCCCTCCTTGCACCTCCAGAAAGTGCTCACCGACTAACACACCCCCCCAAACCTTCCTTGCCCCTCCTCTTCCCCAGCCTGCATCTCTCTCCTGCTGGGTGGCCCATTGTAAACTCCCCAAGGACACAGCCTCTGTTTGCTATTTCTCCATCAACTTATAGTACTAGAGAAGGGCTGCAGCTTCCAAACGGCCCAACTCCCAGATAGCATCCTAAGGGTGAGAAGTGTCTGCTTGACAGACACTTATTAATCATCTGTTAAGAATGGTGCTAGCCACTGTTCTGGAGCCTGGGGAGAGTTCGGAATATATTGAGACCTCAATGCTTCAGTTATGGGCATGGAGCCCACTGCCTGTGGTCCACTCATTTGCCCACCTCCCCACCAGGTCCCGCTGACCCCAGAGCAGCTCCAGGCAGTGGAGGGCGCTGTGCAGCAGGCAGTGGAGCAGGATGAAGCTGTGTACATGGAGGAGGTGGCCCTGAAGCTCACTGCTCATGTTCCTGGCCTGCGCTCGCTGGATGAGGTGATAGGAGAAACCCCTGGTGGAGACCTCTGACCCTCCTGGCCACTTAACACACTTGTCCCTTCCCACACTCAGGTATACCCAGACCCTGTGCGGGTGGTGTCAGTGGGGGTGCCAGTGGCCCATGCGCTGAACCCCGCCTCCCAGGCTGCACTGCAGACCTCCGTGGAGCTGTGCTGTGGGACGTGAGTCACTCCTCTACCTTCTCACCTGGGGCCTAGGGCCTCAGCCAGTCTCGCCAGGTTGCTCACGTTGCTCTTTTCTCCCTCGTCACCCCTCCTGACTTCCTCCTCCCTCTGCACACAGCCATCTGCTACGAACAGGAGCTGTAGGGGACCTGGTCATCATCGGGGAGCGCCAGCTTGCCAAGGGAACGACCCGCCTGCTGGCGGTCACTGGGGAGCAGGCCCAGCAGGTCGGCAAAGCAGGCCCAGAAGCTCCTGGGCATGGATGGGGGCAGGGACTAACAGGCTCAGGATGCCCAGCAGCAAGCAGTGTGCATACTTGTGCACTAACGTCACCATGCCAGCTCTGGCAGCTGGCACCTGTTAGGATTATGTCGTGCCTTGTTTGGTCCTGACTGCCAAATATTTCTAGCTTGGCCCCGGCCAGCAATGAGTGGGGACCTTTGGCCCAGGGAAGCAGGTGGAAGCCCAGCAGCCCCAGCCATCCTGTTCTCTCCCTGCAGGCCCGAGAGGTGGGCCAGAGTCTGGCCCAAGAGGTAGAAGCAGCCGCAGAGCGTCTGAGTCGGGGCAGCCGGGACGTGGCAGAGGCACACCAGCTGTCCAAGGACATGGGACGCCTCACTGATGTGAGGGCCACTCTCCTCACCACAGAGCTGCTCCCCTCCCCTCCTGGCCCTAGTCCCTCCCCTGTGCCGGCACTCCTGCTGCACCCCTGCTACACCCCTGCTGCACCCCTGCCGGCCCAGACCCCAGAAGGTTGTCCTTGCCTGCAGGCCAGGATGTGCTGGGCTGCTACCCCTTCCCTAGCCCCGCCAGACCCTCACTCAGAGGCTGGGACGCAGGGAGGGATGAGGCTGACGAACCACTTCTGGCCATAGGCTGTTGACACGGCTGTGATGCCCCAGTGGCAGCGGCGGCAGCTTCAGGCCACACTGAAGGCGCTGCAGCGGCGAGCCAACACTGCCATCCGCAAGCTGGAAATGGGGCGGGTGAGAGGACACTCACTGCCCCCTCGGGGACATGGCAGGGGTCAGCGACGCTCCACCGGGCCTAGTGAGAGGCCTCGGGAGCTGCACATGTGGGGACTGGGGGGGCTAAGTTGGGGCTGGGGGAGCACCTTCCTCTCCTGACAGCTGGGGGCCATCAGCAGATCTTTCTGCCACTTCTCTGGAATTGCATCTCTCCCCCAATTCCCAAATCTGGCCAAAACTCCTTCAAGAAGCCAATTGACTTGATTACGCCTTTCAGCCCTAATTGCTCCTTGACTGGGGATCCTCCTTCCACCCGCCCCTCCCAGTCCATCTGCGCTCCAGCCTTAGTCTTTTCACCTTCAGCGGCCTATTTGTAGGGGCCTAGAGCTATGATGGAGGGAAGAGGCAAGGGGGGGCGGGGAAGGACACCGGTGAGACCCAAAAAAAAGCAGGTCATTCCCGGCAGAACATTGCCACCTCTGCTCAAAACTCAGGACCTTTGCTGGGGGAGATTTCAGAACTGGGGCTCCGCTCAGCAGTGGGGACCAGTCACCTCCCAGTCTGAACCCTCTGCTGTCCTCCTTGCACTGCAGGCTGCACAGAAAACCCAGGAGCTGCTGGAGCGGCACTCAGGGGAGCCAGTGATTGTGGACACAGTTTCTGCTGAGTCCCTTTCCGTGAGTGTGGGGGCCTGGGAGGAGGGGGCTTAGTCCTGCTGGGAGGTAGCTGGGAGTCTGGGAAGCTGTGGGGTCACTGTCTGCCCTCCTTGCCAGGTGCTGGTGAAGGTGGTACGGCAGCTGTGCGAGCGGGCACCTAGCACGTCTGTGCTACTGCTCAGCCCCCAGCCCCTGGGGCGTGTGCTCTGTGCCTGCCAGGTGGCCCAGGTGAGGAAGTGGGAGAGCAGCCCTCACCTCACGCATCCCCTGGTTCAGCCCTGATTCCCCACCTCGACCATGGAGTCAAGTCAGATCGCCAAGGGTAGAGGTGACCTGTGAGGACGCTCCAGCTCTGGCACCGGGCAGTCTCCTTGTTCCTAAGGACCACACACACCCCCCACTAGAGAAGGCACGTGGAGATTCCCTGCTTACCAGTAATTGCCTAATTATAAGTAGCACATATCAAGCAGATGCCACACGGTCCCAGCCCCGATCGTCTCCTATCTCCTCACCCAATCTCCAGAGCATGCATGGGTGGAGCGGGGGTTACAGATCACCCTGACTCAACTCTCGAGGGGATAGAGAGTGGTTGGTGGCAGGGAGGGTTGTTCTGCATCACTGCCCTTCTGTGTCTTTGCCAGGGGACTGCACCAGCCTTCACAGCAGAGGCCTGGGCACTGGCTGTATGCAGCCACATGGGGGGCAAGGCCTGGGGCTCTCGAGTGGTGGCCCAGGGCACCGGAAGCACTGCTGACTTGGAAGCTGCCCTCAGCACAGCCCGAGCCTATGCCCTCAACCAGCTCTGACCCACGGCCCCCCAGGACTCACATGAACTAAAGAGACAGGGATAGGCTGGTTCCAGGAGCTCTGAAGCAACCAGCAGAACTCCCCCCGGTCTGAAGCCAAGGACTGGAGGCTAGAGGCCAAAGCACCTGAGCAGAAGGCCACCGCGGGCCAAGCCCTGTACGGACTAATGGAGATGCAGGCTGGGAAGGCAGAAGCAGGCTCAGGGATACACCCCCACTCTGTGACTGAAGACACCTGCTATGCTGGCTGTGATTACTCATTAGAGAGTATTCCACTAAGGACAGGAGACTCCAAACCTTCTTTTATTTAAAAAAAAAAAAAGTAGACCTCCCTCCACCCAAGCAACCTGGAATGGGGTGCAAACCTGGACATGGAAGTACCAACCAGTCTGATCCCTCACAATGGACAACGAAATCAGAACCATCTTCATTGTCACTAGTGCCCAGGCAGGCTCTATGCCATTCTGTTCTGGGCACCAACAAAGACCGGCCACCCAGATTCAGAACTGTCATGAAAGGCATTATAGCAGGACAGAGCTTCTCTGGTGTCACTTACCTCGTTAATGTCAGTGACATCTTTTTAATGAAGGCCCTGCCAATTTATGGTAAAGTGAGCAACAGCCACAGTTAGTTGCTGAAACTAGGGAGAGGAACAAGCAGGCAAAAATTCTTGCTCCTTTGGAGCTTACTTCTGGGGAAACAGACAATAAAGAGAAAGAAGAATGTGTCTGTGATGGGATCTGTGGAGACAGAGTGAAATGGGGAGTTAGAGGGTGGAGTGGTGGGGTCTCCCTGGTGGTACAAGAGGTTAAGTCTCAAGACTATGAAGCTATTGGCAGCCACTGCAGCATAAGTTTAATCCTGGGCCAGGAAGCTGACCCACATGGCGCAACAGACCTTCCCTGTGTTGCCTACTGCTCCCCTCAGCAGTGTACTTCTGTGGATCTGCCTGTTCTGCTCCCCACTCTGTCTCTGGTGAATCCCCCCACCTTCTCTCTCTCACACACACACACACCTGCACTTCTGGCCTATACCCCAACTCATATGCATAAATCAATCTTAAAAAGAGGGCCCTCCCTGGTAGCACAATGGGTTAAAGCGCAGCACTATGAAGCTGTCAGCAATCACTGCAGCATAGATTGGATCCCTGGCCAGGGAATTGACCCCACATGGCACAGCAGACCTCTCCTGTCTTGCCTGCTGCTTCCCTCAGCAGTGTGTTTCAGCACATCTGCCTGTTCTGCTTCCCACTCTATCTCTGGTAGATTCTCTTACCCCCCGCCCCCCCGCACCTCTGGCCTGTTCCCCAGTTCTTGTATGCATAAATGAATACATCTTTAAAAAATAGAGTGAGTGACCTGGGAGCAGACCTAGGAGAAGAGGGTGTGAGCCATATGGATCCTGAGGAAAGAGCCAGTGCTGAGGCCCTGAGATGGGGTGAGGAGACACAGTGAGCAGGAAACTGGCAGGCTATAGGGTCAGGAAGCAGGCACCAGAGCAACCCTGCTCCATATAACATGGCTGCCCTGAGCCTGCTAAAGCTGAAAATCAACAACTCAGAGCAGGAGGAAGCCATGGGATGGAGGACAGCCTTCCCGTTCCCTACCAAATGAAGCCACCCCAGACTAAACAGATACTGGCCCCACCTCTGCTCCCAAATCTGTTAGAAGGAAAGGACCTAAGGGGACCCATCTAGAAGGCACAGGCTTCCAAGTCTGAGGGTGTCTAATTAAAACTATTAGAGCAGAGCAGGCCCTCCTGGCAGCATTTCCAGCACAATTCCTCCTAATTGAGGCTATGGTGATTTGGTGAATCACTGATGAGGGCTGGAGGGTCCAAATCTGGTTCCTGGGCCCTGACTGCTTGGCCCTGTGGAGTGGCAAGGCTTTACCTCAGGCCCTTGGCCGTGGTAGAGCATCACATTCAGCAGTGCTCACTGCAGGCACGTGGACACCAAGGTGAGCTCTACCTCGTTTTATTGATTAGTTCACCGAGTTTCCAAGATTTAACTTATCCAAATCCTACGCTCTGCCTCTATGTGAGAATCCCCACTCCCCGGTTGCCTCTCCCCTACTGAAACACAATTTCTTTTTTCTTAATAGCAGATCCCCTTAGGCTGGTCATTTCTCTCTCTCAGGGTGCCATATTCTGTCACCCAAGGCTGGGGAGAAAGCAGATGGCATCAGACTTGGGTTTTTCTGAAGGAGTGCTGTGGAGGCCTGGAACCTCCCTGCCTGGTGCCAGGCACCAGCCTTGCTGCCACGCTGGAGAAAGGCACCACTGTGCAGGGATGCAGCAGCACCCAGTCTTCCACAGAGCCTAAGGGAGTCCCAGTAACTCCTGCAGGTGCCTTCCACCTTACCTTCCAGAAGAGAAAGTCTCAGGATGCCTTTCCTAGACTCTCCAGTCGCCACCTCCACCCGCATCCACACAAAGGAACCAAAAAGGAACAGCACTCCGGTCTTGAAGACCCACCCCCCCCCCACCCCCCTCCCCCCACCTACCACCACAGAAGCCCGCCTATTCCTAAACGTACCTTCCAGAAGAGAAAGTCTCAGGATGCCTTTCCTAGACTCTCCAGTCGCCACCTCCACCCGCATCCACACAAAGGAACCAAAAAGGAACAGCACTCCGGTCTTGAAGACCCACCCCCCCCCAACTCCCCTCTCCTCACCTACCACCACAGAAGCCCGCCTATTCCTAAACGTGTCCCCCAGAAGCGCGAAAGTATGCCCCAGGGCCCAGAGTCCCCACAACTACACAGCGCTCCCACGCGGCACTTCCAGAGGCAGGGCATGGCCGCCCTGTGTGCCATTCAACACCTTGCGAAGGGCTTTTGATGGCATCCAGTGAGGGACAGCCCCGTACGCCTGCACGGCACGCGCGACAGCGCGGGATGGGGACGTGTGCCCACGCAGGCGTAGACGCGCAAGTGCGCACGTCCCTTGGTCCCGCCCCTGGCAACAAGGGGCGTCCCTAACGACGGGAGACCTGGCTGGCCCAGGACCCCGCGGGAAGGCGAGAGCCCAGGAGCTGGTGAGGTAACCTTCTGGAGAGGGGACACTCACCCTGGGTCTCCCCCATGGGGTTGAACTCTTCCTGCCCCTGCACCTCCTGGTGGGTCCAGAAGCCCTTTGCGCCCTCAGCCCTCACTTGCCTCAAGCCAGAACTCAGCCCCAGTCTTGACTCCCTCATTTCTCATGGAAGGGAAGGACCGGTCTGTACATACAGGAGGCCCCTGGGCGCCCACCCATTTGAAGCAGATCTGTGCCTCCTCCCCAGCCACAGGCAAGACACTGCAAACCGGCTCTGAAACTCTGGGTCCTCCAGTAAGGGGAAGGGAAGCAATGAGAAGGAGCAAGGGGAGAGTGGGGCCATCTCCTGGGTTGTGGTGGAGAGCAGTGCTACACACCCAGGGCCCCAGTCCTCCCAGGAAGATTGATCCCACCGACCCCCTAACCCCCAGCCCCACCCAGCTCCTGCAGGCTGCAGATCCAAACCTCTGCACCTCCCTCCCCCACAAAGCAGAGGCAGCTTCCCCCTCGGTTACCTAGGAGAAGCCAGAGCCTCTTCACCCCAGGTAGAATGGGGGAGGAACTGGCTGGCCTTTGGAGCTGAGCTTCCCTGCTGGGTGTTTCAGGCAGATAGGGATGAGGAGCTAATGCTGCTAGAGTCCCTTTTAAGACTACAGTTATAAGTGGTTAGGAGTTGGGAGGGGAGCCAGACCCAGGGGTTAAGATTAATGTGCTAATTTAGTTGCCAAAGACCTTTTGTGATTCCACAGGCTGGGAATTCCCTACTTGTAATTTGGGAGTGGCTTGCCCGCAGGGCAGAGTCTGACTTGGGCATAAATGAAATCAGGAAATATGAAGACACAGTGCCAAGGCCCTGAGGACAGCTGCCCCAGGTGGTGCTGGGTGGGTAGGGTGAGGGGGGGGGGGGCTCTCTTTAGGAAAGGATGTGGAGGTGAAGGAGAAGCTAGCTGAGGAGGCAGAGGAAACAGGTAGAGAAGTGACTGGAGAGCTGGTTGTAATGGTAACCCATCAGAATTAGCCAAAGGGGCTGTCCAGAGATACAGAGGTGCTCACTGACAAGGGCCATGCGCATGGGCATCTTAGGTAAGAGGATGGGAAGTGAGAAGCATTGAGGCCCAGTGATGTGATGGGTGGGAAAGGAAGCAATTTCCCCACGTTTCAGCTTTCCCATTTGGGCAGGTGGGAGGACCCTCCTTCCAGAGTGGTCAGAGTTAACTGGGAGCTTGAGAAGGATGGAGAGGAGCTGCCCTGTAACTGGGGGCAGGTATTCTCCTGGTCTCCTGAGGGGCCTCAAACCAAAGGATACAGGTCACCCTCCAGTTCTGAGCAAGGAACCTATATGCCTGACAGTGATTTAGGAGTGAGGGAGTCTGGCTGCTTGTTTTTTAAAAGATTTATTTATGCATGCATGCAAGAACTGGGGTACAGGCCAGAGGTGGGGAGGAGGTGAGAGGATTCACCAGAGACAGAGTGGGGAACAGAAAAGGCAGATGGACTGAAATGCACTGCTGAGGGGAGCAGCAGGCGGGTCAGGAGAGGTCTGTGCTATGTGGGTCATGTCCATGGTTGGGGATCAAACTCCTGGTGAAGCAGCTCAGTGAGCTTCATGATGCTGTGCTTTAACCCGCTGCACCACCAGGAAGGACCCCAAGGCACATATTTTTTTAAAGGCAGGTCAAAGCTAACATACAATCTGTAGACACATATGTTTGTAATATTAAGATTTCCTTTCTTTGGGGCAGGGGGGAATGCATTTTAACATAACAGAGATGAAAGCTTTAGGTTAGGGGCCTGAAGTTCCTATAGTGGGGTGCCAAGGCCTGGCTCCTTCCCCGCCTGGGGAGCTTTCTCCCCAGGTCCTGTTGTGTAGATAGGACCGCTGCTTCCCAGGGAGCAGGAGTGTGGGCCCTTCTTTGTTTATGGGGGAGCACTGTGCTGTGGTTAGAGAGCCTACCTGCAGGCAGTTCCTAGACTAGGCTTCCGCTTCCTCAGCCACCGGATGGAGAGAAGCCTGCCCACCTCCCTTGCCGAATGGCTGTAAGATTCAAATGAGAAAAGAGTTCTGAGAGGAGCCTGTGACTGTTGAGGGCTGAGCAGAGATCAGCTGCTGACTTTGTCCTGTGTCTGGAGAGATGGAAACTCGGGGGGTCAGAAGAAAAACTGCCCCAGGAGTTAGACCTCAGGCCCTGTGTAGAATAACCTGGGGTCTCTGATGCATTTCATCTATTCATCTACGAGTTTTCCCATAATTTCACTCACCAAACAGGAAGCCTATTAAAATGGTAAGGACCCTGTCTGTGGTCACAAAGGAGCAAAGTTCCAACTCAGTTTCAGCAAAAGGAACCTGTGAGAAGGTTACGGAGTAGAGCTGACAGAACTGCTGAGGAAGCAGGCAGCTCTGGGCCTCTGGGAATGAGTGCTCCCCATCCACCCCATTCTGCTGGTCTCCACCAGGCTTCATTCCCTCCTGACAGGCCTTGTCCATGTGAAAGGAACAGCTCTCACCCACAGGGGATCTGCACCCTTCAAGGGTATGTGTCCTCTACCTGATAAAGGACTCTGATTGGCCTGCATCAGGTGGCCACCCCTGAGCCAATCGCTCTGACCAACACAAGACACTCCTATTGGCCGGAATCTATCCCTGGGAGGGGGCAGCCCCAGACACCAGTTGCCTGACCTGCCACAGGCCTGCCACCGGGCTGGGGCTTAGCACTAGCAATAAGAGACCATGCCTGTACCTGGAGGAGTTCATAACCTTGTGTGGGTGTGGGAAGAGGGTGGCCCTTCACATCCCTAAAGTGACACAAGTATACTGGGGTGATCTGACAAAGGGGGGGTTATAGGGCTCATGGGGGGATGGGATGTCTTCAGAGAGGTGGTAGAACTTGAGCTCCAACCCAAAAGACCTGTGATTGCCACTTCCCAGGCAGTGGAGAAGAGGTCCCCAGGGCAGAGGAAGCAGCCTGAGCAAAGGGTGCAGGGCTAGCATGTGGTGTTTGGGATGTAGAGGTGTCTGTTTCAAACAAGACTTCCATCTGTGGAGGGTCCCCTAGACGGAGCTGAGGACACTGGCTATACCCAGTGGGCAGTGGTGAGCCCCCAGGAGGGGTTGGCTCAAAGCCCTGCCAGGGCAGCTGTGACAGGCAGGCTGCAGGAGGACCACCCTGGAGGACACCCTCAGTGCTGGGTCAAGGACGATATATGATCCAGGCAGACAACAAGGCGCTGAGCTAAGGAGGCGGCAGCCAGTGAGTGGAGGGGTTGCAGCCAGGGAGGCAGAACTGAGGGTGTGCAACAATAACAAGATATGGGGGCATCTAAAGCGGGGAGCTGACTCCTTGGCTTCTGGCTCAGGCACCTGGGTGGAGCTGGGGCCCCTGCCTAAGGTGGGGAGCCTGGAGGAGGATTGGGGGAGGCATTGAGTTCTCTTGGGGGAGGCTGATTTTGAGGGCCCTGGGGTGCACCTGAGTGGAGCTGAGGGTGGGCCACGCTCCTAGGAGAGGTGAAAGCAGCAAGCATGGGTGGAGTGAGGCGGGGCTTCTGCAGAATCCTGAGGCCCCTCCATGCAAGCAGGGGCGCTGAGTCAGAGAAGCCTGCCAGGGTGGGGACTTTTTGAGAAAGAAATGATCTGGAGGGGAGAGCAGAGCTGACAGAATGGAGAGAGGTGGGGGTACTCGGGGTGATTGCTGGGAGGGCCACACTCCCGTCCTCTCCAGAGCGTGAATAGCAAGAAGGCAAGGAGCCCATCTTGTTTATCATCCTCTAAAATAGACTTTTGATATTTGATTAGTTTAGAGGAAAAAAAAAGACATAAAAGAACATTTGGAGTTAAAATCCTTCGAAAAATCCTCTGCATCTGTTAATAATTTGCTTGCCAAAAATATTTTGTAAAATTTATTTTTAAAGCATCAAAAAAATGATTAAAATCTTCAACTCTGACCTGATCACGAGGTCAGAACTTTAAATTGTTTTCAATACGTGCCTTAAAAATGACATCAGGCCTTGTGTCACGGAGCCTCTGAGGGACTCTCCTTTTTTACACTAACTATGTTAGGTGGGGGTGCTCCTGGGTAGGGCCCAGAGGGGCAGCCCCAGAACAAAGGAAGAACCAGGGCCAGGCCTCCGGGAGAAAGCTGCGTCCCTAGACCATGAGGCCTTAGACAGTGAGACTAGGCCGAGCCACTGCAGTAGGTACCCCGCCTGTTGCCAACACATGGCTCCCGGGAAGGAGAAGGGCACCTGCCAGGATGGTGAGGCTGAGTCACCTGGTGAGTAAGGCCTGCAGGTCCGGCTCCAGGGCAACCACCGCCAGTAACCCGGGGCTCCCCCTGCCAAACTGCATGCTGTTCCCCTGGGTGTGGCCCTCAGGGTATCCTGAGACATCTCTGGCACCAAGGGAAATACCAGAATGTTTGAGGCCAAAACTGGAGGGAGACCAGCTGCAGAGCTGACAGGAGCTGTGCTGGCCTGTCTCTGTCCTCCACGCTTCTACTCATCCCCAAACACCGCTACCTGCCACTTTCCTTCACATTTGCCCTGCACACAGGGAAGGGTCTCAGAAACCATGCACTCTCTCAAAGATACCTTCGTGGTATCCTCCAGGTCTCCAGGGTATCCTCTCCCAGCCTGGGACCTCCCCTGGACTTCTGCCTGATACCATCAATATACTCAAGGGTGATCTCAGAGAACTCTCCGGGACAGGCTGTATCATCAGACGATATGATCCCATTTTACAGATAAGGAAACCAGCTCAGGTTGAGTCACTTGGCCAAGCTCGTACAGAAAGTAACTGGCAAAACTAGAAGGGCAAAGTCATCTGCTGTCTATGAGCAACACACCCTCCCAGCCACACTCTTGAGGAGCCGTTTGTCAAAAAAACACCAGCTGGTTATTCCACAATTCTGACACAATCTGTGAATTTGCATTTGATTTCCAAGAGGATGTCACAACTGCATAGCTATTTCCCCTGCATTGCCCCCTCCTCTCTCTCTCTCTCTCTCTCTCTCTCTCTCTCTCTCTCTCTCTCTC